TAAATAGATATTTTTGTTAAAAATTACTTAAATTTATAATTTTTTAGATTTTTTATGAGTTTTTAAAATTGTACTACCAGTAGTACAAAGGGCGTGCTGCTATCTATTAAGTAATTTAGTTTAGTACTAGAAATTATATTAATAAAGACAATTTTAGTATACTTATAAAACTTATACAACAATGATTATATCGTTATAAATATTAAAAGAATAATAAGTTTATTATAGTTAAGCAATTCAAATTTATTTAAATTTTTAAAGATGACTTAATAAGATAATATATATAGTATATTTTTTAATAATACTAACAGAAAAAAATAATAAAAATATGAAATAACTTTTTGTAATAAGATTATTTTTTTTGGCGCTTTGGTCTAGAAGTAGGAATAGATTTAGTTGATTTGATATTATGCTTATTATGAGATAAGTGTTCATTATTATCAATAAACATAGTAGTATTTTTGTTATTAACATAGGTAGATTCTTTACTAGCTTGAGTAGTTTCTTCACTAGCTTGAGTAGTATCTTTATTAACATGAATGTTTTCTTCAGTAACATTATTAATTTCTCCAGTAGTATGAACGTCAGAAGGTGGATCTTTATCAACATAGTTAGAAGTGTGTTCAGAAGTAATAGGATAAGTAATGTTATGATGAAAAGTAGAATAATTAATGTTAGAGTGAGAAGTAGAAGAAGTAATATTAGAATAAAAAGTTGATATTAGAATAGAAAGAATGTTGAGTAATAGAAGGTCTAAGAGTAGGTTGAGTAAGATTAGAGTAAAGAGGAGGTTGAACGATATTAGAGCGAATATTAGATTGAGTAATATCAGAGTAAAAAGTAGGTTGAGTTATATTAGAAGGAAGGACAGAAGAAGTATTATTTGAAGTAAAATTTGAATGAGTAATATTCAGAGAAATAGTAGATTGTGTAATAGTAGAATGAGCAGAGGGTTGAATAACTGTAAATTGTGAAGTAGAATCTGTATCTTTAATCTGAGATACAAGATCAACAAAATTAACAGAAGCTTGATCATTATTTGTTGATTTTGATAATAGCGATGGTTTTAATGTAAGTTTTTGATTCTTTCGAGAAGTTATTAATGCATATTTTTCTTTTATACTTTTGAGTTGAGTAGCAAATTCACCTTGAGTTTTGGCTTTTCCATTAGTTGAAAAGTTAGAAGAAGAAGCTTCATTACTAGCATAAGTAAATTCTATATCAGCAGCGATTATATGTGGAATATTTTTTAATCCTATTTTTAATCTTCTACAACTAATAAAATGGTCTTTTTTAAATTATTTTTTATAGCAGCAAAACGATTTGTTTCATTAGAATAAGAAACAATAACTCTGGAATCAACATGTTTGTGGTTAATTACACCATTATATAATTGTTGTGAAAGCATAAAGCTTTCTCTTCCTCCTTGATTGTTGGAGAAATAAGAATCTGCAATAACAGGAGCAGTAAAAAGTAAGAGCAGAGAGGAAAATGGAAGATCATCTAGTGTAAAAACATATTCACTATCGGAGAATGAGATGGGTACAGCTTGAATTATATTAACCTAAAGTGTAGTAAGTGCATGAAAAGAGAAATATAAAAAAAACTAAATTAATTTTACATATTCTAGATCTTCGTATACATATCGGCCTACAATTAATACAATTGTGTTTTTCTCAAAAGGAGTAATCAATGAATCAGAATTTTTTATAAATCCTTTAAAGGTTATTTCTCTGAATTCAGCATTATCATTAGTAGTACAATACAAAGCAGTTCCAGAAATATACTTGTCAGGTTCACTCACAGTCTTAGCAAAACAGAATGATATAAACAATGAAGACATGGCATAAGAAATATGTTGGTTTACTTGAATGTAGAGTTATTGTTTTCAGATAAAAAGTGATTAAAATATTTTGCAATTATTGCCTTTTTATAAATATAATAGTTGTATAATAAGAAAGTAAATCAAAATGTAGCGCATAATGAATAAATAGCATATAGCTAAGAAAAAAAAAGATATTGCAGTTATTGATAAGATACATGTTCTCTCATTATTATTTTAGTAAGATTAAAAAAAAAAAGTTTAAAAAGTCCAGAAGAGTATAAGAGATTCAAATGAGTGCTGTCAATAGAAAACCTGTCATCGGGTTTTCAATGTTCAGTGGCTTTCTGCATGCAATTTATGGGTAATATATTCCGATGATATATTGTCCATAGACGGCATACAGAAAGCCAACTGAACATTGAAAGCCCGATGACAGGTTTTCTAATAACAGCACTCAAATAGTAAAGAATAACTTATCTTGGTAATTTGATTTATTAATGCGACATGAGTATGAATTTTTATATATAAAGTAATATGGCTTTAAAAGAACAACTGTGTAATAATAGAAGAAAAATCATATGATTCAATAAAAAGTGCAGAATAAAGGGCTGTAAAAAAATAATTTATTTATTTAAGAGAAATCTTAATAAAGGCAAATCTAAGATAAGAGAAACGGAGGTTTTGGCATAATTATGTAAAAATATAATGAATTTAATCTCTATTGGAGAATAAATTTTATACATATTTCAAAGCATAATAATTATTATTTATAAAATGTAGGTATACATACTGTATTTATATAAAGTGAGAAAATTATCAATACATTTAATTTATAGAAAAATAAAAGATCAGGAGCAATATGATAATGAACAGGGATCAGATAAATTAGATATTAGCGAAGAATATGGATGTTTTAAATTAGATAAGAGTAAGTTTAAATACATAAAAAGTAAACAAATTCAGTGAATTATTGTATAAATTTTGGTTAGTGTATCTGTGCTTTGCATTAATAAATTAAGTATATAATTAATAGATCGGACATGCGTGTATATTTGTAATGAATATCTGAAACAATATATATTGCAATACAATTCATTTCAGTAATTAATATATATACAGATATTTTTAAAGTCAGAATGATAAAAATTATCGATCTGGATATTCGTAATCAAGTTGTGTATGTTTTACATAAATTACTTGTTTGATTAATAATAATAGATTTGCTTGTCAGTATACATGCAACTATAAAGAAAAATTACATTATTGTTATTTTTTTTTAACTGAATAAATATTTCTAACTAATTTAGTTAAGATCGATTTAGATTTAGCACAGGTTATGTTTTTACTTAAATACAATACAATATTGTGCTATAAATAATGCATGATACAACATTCTAAATAAGGGTAGTAAAATAATCAATTTAGCTTAGCAGAGTCAAAAGTAAATCGAATGTTTATTATGATACGATGCAGATAAGGAAAGAACAAAATTAAAGAAAACAGAGAAAAGGGGAAATAAGATATAGGTATAGATGGCAGATTATCTCAATAGTAAAGAATTTAGCGGTAAAGCAATATGAAATTAGTAGCGATAATGTTAAATAGAGATAATAAAGGAATGATAGAAGGGTTTCAAGCAATATAATAATACGATGCTATTTAGTGTGCAAACGATGATTATGTGAAGTGTCATTTTTGATTTGTCAAAAATAGGTTCTCACGGCATAATAAATGATTAACAAAAGTAAAAAATATTGATATTTCAGATAATTATGTATCTAAATGATATTAATGTATAATATGATGTGAATGCATTGAAATGTTAGTTTATGCAATTAATAAACTCTAATATAAAATAGATCGAGAATAGCGAAGCTTAAATAAATGGCATATTATTACTAGTGTCTAAAGTATAGTGTAATAATATTAATCAAATAAGATAAATAAATTAATAGTGATAGGCACTATAGACAAATTGGGCTAGACGATTTTGATCCATTAGATCAGCAGTTACTAATTTGAGAGATAGCTAATTTCATAATTAGATAAGGTATTTTCTTGATTTATTTATAGTTAGAGGTTATAAAAATATTTTATATATAATTGATGAGGCTTTAGACCTAATATGGTCATAGATTGACAAACGCTACAAAAAAGAGCAAACGGAATTTGGTGAAGAAACGAAAGTCTCGCTCAAAATTGATGATTATCAATTAATCAGCATGACAAAAAATCTGAAGAAAAAAAAAATAGAAAGCGAAAAAGCGAAAAAACTCAATATATGAATATAAAGTGGAATTTTGTATTTTATAATATTTTAATATTATTTATAACGACAAATAGATAATTTTACTCTTTCGTTTTTCTACTGATGCTCAGCTCAGATCAGATCAGAGCAAAGTATTAAATATAAGCAAGAGACTATATACAACGTGATAAAAGTTGTGATATAGAGGTTTGCCTTTTTTATGCGATTTTTCACTTAAAATAAAATAGTAGCATTAGCTAATCACTGTATATAGAGCAAAAGGAAACAAATTTAGATAAGTCAAGTTTCACAAGCTTAAGTGTATCATTTTACTGTATTAATTCAAAACTATATATATTTATCTGTATTGGATTTGTTCAACATTTTCTAAATTAAGCTTATATTTATCCATTCCTGGTTTAGCACGAAAATGTCATGTAGCTACTTATTATTATTATATTAAGCAGGTGAGACATTACTATTAATTTAGATCTTGTTAAAATTTCTAAGTAAATTTAGTGTTACTGTTGTTCATAATATTTATACTTAGAGATGTAAAAAATCTTATTCGACAGCTTGGCTTAGAAGCTGTGTACTGTTTATAACTCTAATTGAGCTTGAACTAGCTCCAACTTGGTTACATGACAAGATACATGACTTTCCAGTATTGCAAACCTTACTAATTTGATATCTCTGCTGGTTCTGCTCCTTCTTTTTTTGATACACCTACTTTTTTGATATCAACTAGTATTAGGGCCCGTCATTAAATGATGGCTATATGGTGAGAAATAGTACCACAGAAGGAAAACCGTTATCTCGTTTGTTTATAGGGCTGTTTGTAAATATAAATTTAATACCCAGACAGGTTCTTCTTCGGCAGCTCAAAAAATCATATGCAAATATGTTTACAAATCTATAATGGTTGTTATCTCATACTTCTCGAGACCGACCACCAGAATTAAATTTTTATTAATTGAAGAAGAAACTGAACAATCGTCAATATTGCTGTTAGATTATTATCAATATTATTTGACATGTTGGAATAAGAAAGAATTATTAAATTATATACAGTCAGACTTCTCTAAATATATACCTTTGGTATACATGAGTATCTAAATTATTTTGACCATGTAAATTTAAATGGCTAAATTATTTTAGATAGCCTAAATCGTAATTAATTTAGGGCATCTAAAATATTTTAGAGTGTCTAAAATATTTTAGGATGTTTAAAATATTTTAGAATGTTTAAAATATTTAGAATATCTAAAATATTTTCGGCATTTTAAAATATTTAATAATGAAAATATTAGCTGTCCAGTACATAATTATCAGTGCAGCATTTTTTTGACTTGAATCAAACATGGATACAAACTAATTAATTAATCGCTACATGATTTATTATATAATTTCTTATGTGAGTAGTAGTAAACAATTATATAGTACTTTCAATTAGTAATTATTAGCGTTAAGAACTTATTTAAAGAAAATAGATTTTTTTAAATTAATTATATTAGCAAATTTTAAAAATTTTTATAATATTTGAATTATCGAATAATATTTGAATCAAAGTGATTAGTATTATTTTTTGCTAAACCAATTTTGTCTCATTCCTGGTTATCTTTAGATATGCTTTAACAGAAATATGTACAATTTCACTTAAAAAGTATATTTGGTAATTTGTTAGAATAACAGTTACAGAGAATTTCAAGTTTTTGTCTAAGGTAATAATAAGAACAGAATGAATATTTTTGGAATAAGAGTTTTTTTTTTTCTCATCTTTTGAAATATCTTATTGAAAAAAATAGTTATGAATAATATTCTAAACTGTCTAAGAAATTCACAAGCAGTTTTCTCAATATGATTAACTAGTAATCTCATATTATTGCAGTTAATTAAAAAATAATTAGTTAAATTCATTATAAAATTTGGATTTAAAATTTTATTAAAATAGTAACTTACTTATTTTGTTATTTAGTTTCTGACTAGTGATTTTTTTTTTTTAACTTCCCTCCACTAAACCTGAAAGTTCTTAGATACTTTTAGAATTTCTTTTACATCTTTAAAGCCAGAGTTATCATTTTTGCAGAGGTCAATAGCAGGCATTCAGTCTTCTAATTTTTACTATACTTGTGAAATAACTCATGCTTCATTAAGTATATTATATAATATTCTAGGTTCCTGGCCCTGTGGTGTAAAATCTCCAACTTTGAGATTTGCAGTTCTCTAGTTTCACATGACCTACTAACTGGATCATTCTTTTTTATATTTTGCTTTTTTCAATTTACTGTGATCATCAAATGATCTATAATCATATAGAAATCTTTAAAATTTCCAAATTTAAGGCTTTTTTTGCAAATAAATTTAAATTTCTTGCTAACAAATAAAAATTTTCAAAATTCTTTTTCTATTTTCACTTTTTCAGTATTCTATCAACCAATATACAAAAGCTAGTTGTTTGTATGGCTAAATAATATAGGAAATTTCAAGCTTTTTCTTATATCATAATTTTTAATTTTTTTTTAACTTTGAATGAAGATATTTTGACAACCACAAATCAAATTTGATGAAACTTTCTTATTTAAATTCTACAAACCAATAGAATTCAAATTTAGAAAACTTTATTAAATTTGGCTTGGTGGCTGTCAAGATAATCTCTTTTAAAGTTTTAAAAAAATTGTATCAAATTTTCTCAAAATTTAAACAAAGATATCTCGACAATCACAAAGTCATATTCTATAAAGTTTTTTTTTTAAAATTCTATGGATTTGTA